GCACCCAGACGCGGCAGCGCCAGCCCAAGCGCGAAGCCGCGCAGACAAGCAGCCGAAGGGCCAGGCAATCAAGCAACAAGCAGCAGGAGCATGCAGGAGGAAGAAATCCCTTAGACGCGATACCCGGAGGCAGCCGACTGACCACTGTCAGTCGAGACGTCCGCTGCCGCCACAAAGCGGGCGGCCGCGGACGAAGAAAGGGCAGCCGCCGACAAGGAGCCGGCGTTGCCCGGGGGTCCGCCTGGGGCAGCGGACGGAGGGAGGCTGGACACAGGAACACGGTACCGCTCGAGGTAGTCTTCCTCGCTAGCCTCCGAGTCAGCGGTAGCCGAGACCAACACCGCCCGTGGCGGCGGCGACGCCGCGGCAATGCCCAAGGACCGGCGGGACCCGACCGAAACTCTGCTTGCACACAGCGCCACAGCGAGAAGCGGCACAATCACACACAAAACAAGGGTGACGGATTTACTGGCAGAAGGTAAAAAGTGCCTCAAGCAAAACAAAACAGGAACAAGCTAAACCTCCTGGCAGCCGGTTTAGCTTGTTCCTGCTTTGCTTTGCTTGAGGCACGCACACAGCGCACAGCGAGAAGCGTCACAAACACACACAAAACACAAGCCCGAAAATAACCAGCACTTCTGGCAACCGTCAGCAGACCCGGCATCGCAAGCAGCCGAAGGGTCAAGCAATCAAGCAACAAGCAACAAGCAGCAGGAGCATGCAGGAGGAATGACCACTGTCAGTCGAGACGTCCGCTGCCGCCACAAAGCTGGCGGCCGCGGAGTGCTACGGAAAGGAGGAATCGAGGTAAGGAGGTGATGGAACGTATGCCAGCCGTGCCAGTCAGATAGCGCCGAGTTAACAAAAACTCTCCTGTAAACCAAGACGACTTACGTGGCGAGGCGGCCAATGTAGCGTGTGGGACGAAGAGGGGGCTTTCCTAGCCGTCTTGCTAAGGTCCTCTCAGCATGTCTGGATGCTTGGGTTTCACATCCTAGCATACAGTCTATCTCTCATGTGCTCCTCAATTCTGGTTTTATGTGCATTAAACTTGGTCTTGAGCAAAAACTGTCTTGTTACAACTAAGATCGATGTGATATCTGCGTGACTTTGGACTAGTACAAGTCTAACAAACTTGTATTCCGTCGGTTATGAGCCTCGATTACATGCTCAATCATGTTGATCTTATATTCGGTTAGTTGAATTGTTTACTGGAGATTTTTCTTTCTTGGTATTGTTTCGTTACTGTTGAAAGTTCATGCAATTCTATCAAGCATTACACATTCGGATGACTCTTCTCCGAGGCTTCAATCAGGCTCTCTCTCTAGCCGCAAGTTGTTTAGGCCTCTCATCCCAGCCACAATTTGTTTGATTGATCTTCGAACTTGAATAGGAAAAACAAGCCTTTCCCAGCCAGATTGGTCGGTCGAATATCTGAACTGTGTCGGAAACACAGTTGTCGGAGCTAATTCGATTCTTATTTTCTTGATCTTTGAGTAGGATCAAATGGAACTCGGCGAACAAGGTACTACTGCACAACAATCTTCAAATGCCTTGAAACGGATGTTCCAATGTCGCGGCAGCAATCTCTGGTCACAAGTTCTTTACGGTTCAAAATTTATCTTTTGGTCTTCAAATGCTGGCGAGCAAACTTCTCTCGTCTTCTCTTTTATCTTCTCTCTTCTCAGACACTCTTATCTTTACTCTATCTCTCTTCATTGCATCCGCTCGCTATGCATCTCCCTTATCTCTTTACTGCACATCTAATAGCCCTGCATGAAAATCTTCTTCAGAATGGACAAATCCTTGAATCGTTATTGCCCACTCAGCATGACTGTGAACTTGACGTTGTATCATCGTATCTTGACTTGGAAGTCGGGGGGGAGGATGGAACGTATGCCAGCCGTGCCAGTC